TCCCGACGGCACTTGGTGGTAATCTTGGGCATAGTTATTTCATCAAATCTTCGGGGTCGGTGGGGAAATAGCCTTGACTACCATCGTCTTTGTACGGGCACGGATCGAGTGGTCGAGTGGTTAAGGTACCATGTTTACCAGTTGCATTTTGCTCCTGGCTGTCCGGGTTCGAGTGACTTCTGGGGTGTGGATTTTTCAATCATATATATATAAATCATTTTCACGCATTGGAGTGACTTGAACCAGCGTTCTGGTGATTCCCAATCACCAGAATCTCCAATCAAATTCAGCAGAATTCCGTGTTTACGAATTTTGTACCATCGTGGCCGAGTCGGTTAAGGCAAGTGTCTGGGAATTACCAGAACGTTGATCGCGACGATCACGCAGCGGAACTTGTAAACTGCTGAGTGAATACTGACTAGATTTCCCCCCCCCCCCCCGACCCCGATCTAGGCAAGAGGCACAGCATCTTAAGTGAACAGCATCTCACCAGCTCGTGTGTTCACCAGCTGGCGTGTTCACCAGGTGGCGTGTTCACCAGCTGGCGTGTTCACCAGCTGGCGTGTTCACCAGCTGGCGTGTTCACCAGCTGGCGTGTTCACTAGCTCGGGTGTTCACCAGCTCGTGTGTTCACCAGCTGGCGTGTTCACCAGCTGGCGTGTTCACCAGCTGGCGTGTTCACCAGCTCGGGTGTTCACCAGCTGGCGTGTTCACCAGCTCGGGTGTTCACCAGCTCGGGTGTTCACCAGCTCGGGTGTTCACCAGCTGGCGTGTTCACCAGCTGGCGTGTTCACCAGCTGGCGTGTTCACCAGCTGGCGTGTTCACTCCCTTAAGCTGTAATTTGCGATAAGCGGAGCCCTCCTTCAGTTAAGAGCCTTCACCTCTCTCGCCATTACGCCGCGAGAGACCAATTTTATCAACATAATCTCACCCTAAATGTTGTGGTACATACGAACGCACGAGGCGGTCTGGTGGCATTGGTGTGCACCATGCCTCTAGTGTTCACTCTTGTGTTCACTCTAGTGTTCACTCTTGTGTTCACTCTTGTGTTCACTCTAGTGTTCACTCTAGTGTTCACTCTTGTGTTCACTCTTGTGTTCACTCTAGTGTTCACTCTTGTGTTCACTCTTGTGTTCACTCTTGTGTTTACTCTAGTGTTTACTCTAGTGTTCACTCTAGTGTTCACTCTTGTGTTCACTCTTGTGTTCACTCTAGTGCTTACTCTAGTGTTCACTCTAGTGTTCACTCTTGTGTTCACACTTGTGTTCACTCTAGTGTTCACTCTAGCGTTCACTTTACCCTAGTGTTCGGTCTCCTGACGTGGCAGCTTCAATGTCGCTGTCACCCAGCTTTGCTTATGCAAATTCTCAGCTCCCTGAGCTTAATCCTCTTAGCCTGTCAGTCACGATCCTTCACCGGAGGACGAATAATCCCTACACAAGAGTAACTAGATATTGCAAGCCACCTCGCATACAAATCATAGTTGATATTATAAACAGATTTTTATATTTGATTCATTACTTATTACGTTCGATTTTTTTTTCGAACAGTTTGGTGTGTTGGGTCTTTGGATCTCTGTTAGGGTTGTTAAGTTGACCACAATAGTTTACTGACCGATCAGAAGGATATTTTAGTCCTGGGTTAAAGTAAACTTAGTGTGTGTATACACCGATAAGCTGGGTGTATAAGCCTCTCGGTGTATCAGCCCGTCCTCAAGGTTCGTTCATTCCATGTGGCGACCAACCCCACAGCCGCATTGTGTATATAGTGTATATTTAAGCGCATGTTAGGCTAGTTTAGGTGTTTAGATTAGGTGTTGCATCTGTTGTGTGTGAGAGATGCGGTTTTCTTTCACAAACAAGGAGTTTGGTGACTACATGAGCATTTAGCCTTTGTTGATGAATTAGGGCTGATATTTCATGTCTCGAAAAGTGCTTCTTTTAAATCCCCTGTCCGATGCTCGTCTCACGAAATTTTTCACCGACATTTACCCGTCCTCATAAACAAAGGCTAAATGCCCCTTAATCCAGCCGCTAAACCCCTTGTTCACGAAAGGAAAACGCTTAACACACCGATCACAACAGATGACGCTCAAACTTTCCTCGAACAGTGACTCTCTGGTGACCTCTCAATCCCACCTCACTAAATGCTTCACTCACGTACTAGAAATACAAATAATTCGCCAACAAAACTGAAACACCCACCTAACCCAACCTTTGCCTAACTATTCACAAAATCCAAATATATAATAACGTAAATTTATATCTGAGAAAACCCCGACTTTTAAAACACAATAGGTTGATGTTGATGGATGCGTGTGTGGAGTCGTCCACTACTGAGACAAGCCTAACCTGAGGACAGGTTGCTGTGCAAGAACCGGTTACAGTCTCAAACAGAGGAAGTGACTGATGGGGATTGCTATAGTAGCACTCATCTCTTGACTATTGTGCTCACTGAGTGACCGGTCGTAGGAGTTGCAAACACGTGAAATAGGTCAGAGCAAAAAGTGGTTGAAAACTCGTCTCACAATTTTACAAATAAATATGATAATGTAGCGAAAGGTCTCCATTGTTGTTTAAGATTCGCTACTTGGAACAAAAATTTCAAGCAGCACGGGATATGGTGAGCCCGTAGTGGACTTACCTGGCACAGGAGCGGGGCGATGAGTCTGGTCTCCATTGTCGGGGACATAGGAGGTATCGGGATCCCACTCCACTCAAAGCTTTCCGCTGTCACCTCTCCAGCTGCTGGGCAGACTCAACGGTGTTTAACCAAAGGATCAAGTTAAGCATATGATCCACTGCTCCAATAGCATGGGGAAGTACATTAAACTACTAAACAAACAAATTACGGAGCCCAGGAGCTATAGGGCATTTATAGGTGAGAATATCTACAGACATTCTTCCTCTCTCTCAGATGCGTATTGCGTCAGTGTATCTGCATGCGAACAACCCTGACGCAAGCATAATGAGTCAAAGTGCAAGAGCAACTCGTAAGTAAATTAAAAATAGTTTACAGACGTTCTTTCACAAGGCAGGTTGAATGTATCCTGAATAAGAGAACACACATAATTTTAACAAATGTGATCCATCATGAAAACACAGATATAGCAGGCAAATTAACGTGTAACAAGGATGAATCTGAACTAGACCAAGAAATCCCCATCCCTCTTGTTAAGACTATATTGCTTCAAACACTCTCGTCTGATAGAAGAGAAATTAATGGCTGCCAATGGCCTGAAAAGACCAGTATAAAAACTATGACTTGTTTAGTTCTAAAAGATATTTATATGGGCGGCACAAAACGTCCACCAGACTGTGCGACACAGTGGTTGCCAGGATCAGGTTGGGTTATCGCGGGTTATCAGCCATGAACGCACTGCATCAATCTCTTTCTGTCGCATCTTGCTTCCAAATACCAATTACATACCCTCTGACTCCCCCACCAATCTCTCTAGCACATCCTACACCCCAAATCCCCACCACATACCCACTCCTCTAATCAATATCAATGTGAATGGGAACACACCCTATTCCCAAATCTCAGCAACATGGTCTCTTCTCTCAAAACCTTTTGTCAAATCTTCCGCTTTAATCCACATCCACACTCTTATCCACGCCTCCCATCCCACCCTCCACACACATTGCTTAAACTCAAGAATTTCGATATGCACATTTACCTTCGAATAAATCCATCCAAACACCACAGGAAGGGGGAACAACAGCTAGCAAACAGCTCACGAAATGTACTATTGAGCCCGGAAAAAAAAATTGCGCGGGGGAAGATTCCATTGTTTACTCTGTCGACAAAACCAGAGAGGCATCTGTGCTTGTCTTAAACGGCCGCGGAATTCGATAACACACTGCGTCTCGACACAGTACATGCAGTCTCTCTCTCGTTTACAGTACTCACACCTCTAATTATGAACTTGTATGCGTCAAGAACATTTATTGAGATAGTGTGTTGAAGAGTTGTCTCATTTTATTGAGACAATAAAATGCCTCAAAGGGATAGAGTAGCTTAGGCTATTTCAACCCTCCTTTGTATGCATCATATATGCTTTTCTCTAGTTCCAGTTCACATACATCGTTAATAATTCACATTAAACAGTTCCGAATTGAAGATCCTATATCTAATATTTTGTCTCGTCCACGGATCATTCTGAATACTCGAGGAATTTGTATGTGATATTAAGCATTACAATAACAAAAAACAGCTGAGAAACAATCGATAACAACTATATTGAGGCGTTCGTTTCTCTGTTCGCCTTTCCATATCAGACTTTTCTAAAACCCTATTGAGAATATAGTCTTAAACACCTATTGTCGTGGCCACATAAAGAAATAATTCTGATTTTGAAAGTTTTCTGAATAAAGTTCATCAGCATTAAAAGATAGCGTTATGGAGAGAAGGACGGATAGCTAAACACAAGTTTGCAATCATAACAGGAAAAAGAAGAATGAAAGAATGTTTCACAGAAAGACAAAGTGCGAGAGAGAGAGAGAGAGAGAGAGAGAGAGAGAGAGAGAGAGAGAGAGAGAGAGAGATAGAGAGAGAGATAGAGAGAGATAGAGAGAGAGACAGACAGACAGACAGACAGACAGACAGACAGACAGACAGACAGACAGACAGACAGACAGACAGACAGACAGACAGACAGACAGACAGACAGACAGAGACCGAGACCGAGACCGAGACCGAGACCGACCGACCTACCTCAGACACTGCCGGATAGATTTATAAATTCAAAATGCTCTATTATTACAGATTTATTACAACGACTACGAAACTAATGAACTTATAGACTGCCAGTTTCCATAGCATAAAATAAAACCAATCAACACAAAACACTTTATTACGTAAAATACAAAATAAAATTTTCCTGGAGTATATACCAGGAAAAATATATAATATTTAGTATAATATATATATATATATATATATATATATATATATATATATATATATATATATATATATATATATATATATATATATATATATATATATATAATATGTGTATGTGTAAATATATACATACTAACACACCTCCTTGGTATTGGTTGTGCTAGTGTCCCAACATAAACACAAACAGGGAAAGACAATGGAGTTTATGCCACTGCTTGGGTTACACTGTTGGAGGCACTCTATCAGATTGGCTTTGCATTTCATACTGGGCTTCCATCCACCTTGATAATATCCAAGTTGATTGGGCCTTTAAATCTTCTCGCATATGTGGTATGTTATGCTTTCTAGATTTAAAAGGTGAAGATACACGCTTGCTTAAATGATTATGAGAAATCCGTTACTTAAAGTTGGAGCTTTGATAATCAAATCTCGGAAATACGCACTCAAACTTACACGCGCACTCACACACACACACACACACACACACACACACACACACACACACACACACACACACACACACACACACACACACACACACACACACACACACACACATATATCCAGAACATCTCTTATGGTGTATAAGGAGGAGGACTGGAATCCGGAGCGTAGGCAGGTGGAGGCCGGTATTCTTCAGCAAGGGGCACATGCATAGGTCCAGGAAGGTAGTCCATCGTGGCGTTACTGCTGCTTGCAGTCGCTAGAGGAGCTAACTCGCCTGGTTGCATCAATCCGTAGCTCACCAATATGGTTCTAGCTTGAGGTGGTTGGCATGGTTCACCTCGATAAGTGGCTGGCTGACCCGGAAAAGCTGAAGCTGGTTGAGCCGGATAGAAGGCTTCCTGAGCTGGATGGCCTGTTGGTTGTCCCGGAAAGGAGGTTTGCTGAGCTGGGTAAGAGGCTTGTTGAACTGGATAGGAGGCTTGTTGAACTGAACATGAAGACTGCTGAACTGGATAGGAGTTTGACTGGTGCAGATTTGAACTCATGACTCTTTCCGGGCTGTCTACAACTTGTTGGCGGTAATTTCTGTACTTCCAACGTGCATAGATACACACGGTGATGCACGATAACACAATGATTACTGCAAGAGAAAACAAAATATTCATTATTTTTTTTAAAGTATTTGCTTTTGTGTAAACCAATTAAGTAAACAATGTACATACACTAGGACATAAACAAGGAGTTTTTAACTCAGTAATTTCGAAAATCCGTGAATAATTAGACAAAGAAATTGCTGAACTCAAATTAACTGATATAGCACCATGCCAGGGTACAGCATATCCAACAGTTCCTGGATATCGTTCTGGATTAGAGGAACTATAGCTATGCTAAAAATATATTATAGTAGCCAATATACTTACTGCCAGACGTCAGGAGTATAATGTCGACAATCTGCACCCCGTCAAAGCCTTTTTCGGAGTTAAACCGCAAATTTGAGATATGTCTGAATATGCCGACAGCTATGGTGCCCAAGAAGATGAGGAGTATGCCAAACATACCCAGGAAGACCACCATGGGGAATGTCAGTACCATACAGCCAATCTGTCGGGGAAATATGTGATATTAAGACCATTTAGAAAATATTTTTGATGTTACGATCATTCATTGGGGAAATATGTGGTATGAAAACCAGTTTTTGGGAAAATATGTGGAATTAAGACATTTACTTGGAAAATATATTAACTTAAAACCATCTATTGGGAAACTATTTGGAACAACGACCATTTATTGGCAAAATATTTGGAACAACGACCATTTATTGGGAAAATATTTGGAATAACGACGATATATTGGGAAACTATTTGGAACAAAGACCATTTATTGGAAAAAGGTGTAGAATATAAACAATTATCGAGACAACTGATCACGTGACTGCTTCAAACTAATTTACAGCATATTTTTTATGCTGATCAACGTTTTCCCTTTCAGTTCCCACAACATGGTTTTGGAAAAAGGTAGTTGGAGCTTTTGCATCTTTTGTTGTTTCAAGCAGTCTAGAACCTTGAAAAAAGTTTTGGTGCCTTAGTTACGTGGATGTATGCTGCTGTCCTTCACAGGTGTCCATCAGTATTTGGAGAATTGTTGGACATTTGGAAACGAAGCTCTTTCTCTTCTGTGTGTTTGGCTATAGTGAGGCTCTTCCTAATTAATTTTATTGGGTCTGGGTCAGTAAAATTAAAGTGTTTGCATGTGTGCGTGTGTATTATAACGGGGATACTACTTCTTGTTGCATTTGTAGCGACCCTCGACCTCGAAGAAGACGACATGCAGCATCCAGGGAGCCACGTGGGGGCACCCCCTCATTCACATATTGTCTTCTACTACCTCCTACATTTTTGGTGTATTGTCATTTTATTTTATCTAAGACTTCATTGCACAAAAAGAGTTACAACATTGGTTACATGCAGGGTACAAGGCTACTTGTCACAGGCTGTCGAGTACCTCCAGCTCCTCAGATGGCGGGCAGGAACCATGGATGCAATGAGCATGTCCTCTCTGGATATATATATATATATATATATATATATATATATATATATATATATATATATATATATATATATATATATATATATATATGTAATGCTTACACATATACTTTAGGCTTATATCGAGGTCCCATCCTGATCCTAGGTCGAACTCCGGCATAACCCACTCCAGGATGCAACCCTGTAACAGATGACTAAGTCCTGGGTACCAATTTATTGCTGGGTTCAACAGAGGCATTGGGTGATAGGAAACGAGCCCAACCATTTCTGTCTCGATCCTAACCCGAGATTCCCGACTGTAAGTAGAGAACGAACCCAACTACACTACCGAGACCCACTTTTAAAAGGCTCTACACCATTCCTTTCCTCCGTCCAATCCCAAATCCTCATCCTAATATCAATTCCAAGTGTTATTTAGCCGTAAGGATTAGCGCTCTCGGTTAATAATTTCCGTCCCCGAGACCTCCCCCCCCCCATGTGTTTCTGTCACTGTTTCTCTGTCTTCCTATGTACTCACCTAGTTGTACTTGCGGGGGTTGAGCTCTGGCGCTTTGGCCCCGCCTCTCAACTGTCAATCAATCAATTTATTTATTTATTTATTTCCTCACACACACACACACACACACACACACACACACACACACACACACACACACACACACACACACACACACACATGCACGCACGCACGCACACACACACGCACGCACACACGCACGCACGCACACACACACGCACACACACACACACACACACACACACACACACACACACACACACACACACACACACACACACACACACACACACACACACACACACACACACACACACACACACAGGAAGCAGCCCGTAGCAGCCGTTTAGCTCTCAGGTACCTATTTACTGCTAGGCGAACAGGTACATCAAAATGAAAGAAACTTTGCCCATTTGTTTCCGCCTCTGCCGGGGATCGAACCCGGACCCATCGGACTATGAATCCCGAGCGCTGTCCACTCAGCCGTCAGGCCTCCTATGTCTGCTTGTATCTATGTGTGTCCGAAGATGATTATGCGTGAGGTGCCGGCTGCGAGCCCAATGACAAAGCATACACATTTCCACTCTCGTTAGATTAACGACCTGGGGCCAGATTCACGAAAGCAGTTACGCAAACACTTACGAACCTGTACATCTTTTCTCAATCTTTGGCAGCTTTGTTTACAATTATTAAACAGTTAATGGGCTAGGAAGCACCAAGAAGCTGTTTATAACAATAACAACAGTTGAATGGGAAGTTTTGATGCTTGTAAACTGTTAAATAAATGTAACCAAAGCCGTTGAAGATTGAGGAAAGATGTACACGTTCGTAAGTGCTTGCGTAAGTGCTTTCGTGAATCTGGCCCCTGGTTCTCACTAGCTTCACATGGATGAGGAAGTGGTGAAAGTAAGGCAGTCGGTAATCGATGGTGAAGGTGGTGAATGGTAGAGATGATGACGAAGGGAAAGTGGTGACTGATATAGAGGTGAAAGTGGTGATGCAGAACCCTGCGGAGGATTTCAGGGCTCAAAGTCCCCGCGGCCCGGTCCCCAACCAGGCCTCCTGACAGGGGACGATGGTGAAAGGTTGGGAGGCTGGTGAATGGTAGGGGGAAGCACGTGAGGTAGAGGAGATGTTGTGAAGGAGAGGTAAAGACGTGAAGGTCATGGAAGGTGGTAATTGAGAGGGAAGTTGATGAAGGATCAGAGAGGTAGTGGTGGTGGGGCGGGACCATGAAAAATAGCGAAGGTGTTGAGGAGTCCAGATAGAGGTGAAGATGCGAGGGTTATGAAAGGTAAGGAAGGGGCGAAGGAGAAGGAAGGTGTGTAGAGGTAATCTATCTTTAAGGGTAAAGGGAAGGAAAGGGAAGGGGTGATAAAGGTTACAGTAATGAAGAAAATGTGTAGGGAAGATGGTGGCAGAGATAAAGATAGTGAGTAGTGAAGATGGTTACAATGCTGATGATAGTGTCTTGAAGAGGGTTACAGTGAAGATGTGGCCTCCGTCTCCCAAGCAATATATATATATATATATATATATATATATATATATATATATATATATATATATATATATATATATATATATATATATATATATATATATATATATATATATATATATATATATATATATATATGTTTTCATGAACACTATAAATATGAACTATGAACTAAGCATTAAAGAAGTGGAAAGGCATCAAGGCGAGCTCTGTTGTGAATGAACTCAGCCTGTTTGCCAAGCTGAAGTTGAACACATGAACAGCAATGCTAACTTTTAAAAGTGGAAGATAAACGCCGAGTAGATTAATCCCAGCTAGGAGGATTTTTCTCAATCATCTCTTCAGAGATTAAGCACTAATACGTCTTAAGTCAGGCATTCCTCTGCTCTAATTAAATTTTATTTGCAGGCTAAGTTTATGGAAAGATTCAAACCTTTTTCAAAATAAATAAGTCTTTTCAATTTTACTTTTGAGTTTAATATTTTTTTTGTCTAAAAGTGCATAGAGAAATTCGACATTTTAAATCAACATTAGATATAATTAATATCAATTTGCGAAGGTTGAAGTATGGTTACTTTGGGCTAGGCTACTTCAACTTTGCAGGATGAATAATAGGGGGAACGGAACTGTCATAGGCGAGTCGGTGATGGCCACATTTACTCCACTATGATGTGGTCTGCTCTCATTGCGACCTCATTTATATATATACTGGTGCAATTAAACAAAAAACTATTTTTATTCTTCTCATGCGGAAGATGAGAACCGAGAACTAATTTCCTTATTTTAAGCATTCTGGATTTTTAGCATCGCGTAGCTATTTTCTTTTACACAGTACGCCCCTTCGAATAGTCTAGGGTAGCTGCACAAATGCACATGTACTGAAATGTGTTAATAAACAAAAAAAATTTGAATATTGGTTAAGGCTGAGAAATAAGTTTTATGGACTGGGCCAGCCAACGTACACTGATTTGTGGGGATGAAACACTTAAATTTGCAAACTTTTGGGGTCGACCCAGGAACTGGCAGGTACCTCATCTAGTAAATATATGTGTGTGTAAATCACGAACAGGTAAATTTTTCATCACATGTTGAAAAATATGTCAGTGTCAGACTACTAAAGAAAGAATGAAACAGGAATTTCCTTAAGTACTTTCAATTTGTCTAGGTCATCTTGTAGCCTCATACTATCTTCTTCTGTCTTAATCCTCCTCATAATTTTTGCATCATCAGCAAACAATGAGAGGAACGAGTCTATTCCCTCTTGGAGATCATTTTACATATATCAGAAACAGTATAGGTCCAAGGACTGATTCCAGTAGGACTTTACTGGTGACGCCTTGCCACTCCGAGGCCTCGCCACCTCACAGTGATTCGCTGTCTTCTGTTGCTTAGGTACTCCCTTATCCAGTTTAGTACATTCCCTTTCACTCCCGCCTGCATCTCCAGCTTGTGCACTAGTCTCTTATGTGGTACTGTGTCAAAGGCTTTCTGATAATCCAAAAATATACAGTCTGCCTGCCCCTCTCTTTCTTGCCAGATTTTTTATGCCTGGTCATAGAATTAAATTAATCCTGTGAGTCATGATTTGCCATCCCTGAACCCATGCTGATGTTGTGTTAAAAGTTCTTTCGCTTCAGATGGTCTTAATCCACTGGTCTTAATGGTCCACTAGCTTTTTTCGCACAATCTTCTCCATCATCTTGCATGGTATACAAGTTTGGGACACTGGTCTGTAGTTCAGTGCCTCCTTTCTGTAACCCTTCTTGAATGTCGAGACTACATTAGCCATCTTCAATTTTTTTGTCAGTTTCTCTGTTACCAGTGATTTGTTGTATACCATGGAGAGGGGCAGGTACAGAGCTTCTGCTCCATCTTATAGTATTCATGGTGAGATTGTCAAGATTCCATCCGGGCCAATAGCCTGTGTCACATCCAAATCTAGCAGATGCTTCCTCACCTCCCCACTGGTAATCTCAAAATCCTCTAGTGTTTTCTGGTTAGATATTCCCTCTCTCATCTTAGGGACTTCTCCTTGCTCTACTGTGAATGCCAATTGGAATTTCTTATTGAGTTTCTCGCACACTTCCTTATCATTTGTCATTACCTTTGCTTACTATGTCATTTTCATATTGTCCTTCTGTCTCTCTTTTCTCACCCTGACATATTGATTCCTGGCACTCTGGTATCTTTCTCTGCTCTCTAGTGTCCTGTTATTTCTATGGTATCTCCACACTCTTGTACTTTGCTAGCTCTTGTTGCTTTGCTAGCCTACATCTCTGATAAAACCATGGGTTTCTAGTCTGCATTTCGGTTTTTTCATTTTTGACTGGAACGAACCAGTCTGCTGCCTCCTTGCACTTCTGCGTGATGTAGTCCATCATGTCTTGAGCCGTCTTTCCTCTGAGCTCTGTTTCCTAAGATATTCTTGTTAGGAATTTTCTTATCTCCTCATAGTTTCCCTTTCGGAATGCCTGCCTTTTGTTTTCTTGTCCCTTCCTTCAGTATATTAACCCTACTTCGACCAGATACTCAAACATCAGTACACTGTAATCACTCATTCCCACGGGGCCTTCCAAAGCTATTGCCCTTATGTCGGAGTCGTTCAGAGTGAAGACTAGGTTGAGTCTCGCTGGTTCATCGTCTTGTGGGTTCCCTGACATGCTGGCCTAAAAGGTTTCTCGTCGCCACTTCCAACAGTTTAGTTGGTGTGTGTGTGTGTGTGTGTGTGTGTGTGTGTGTGTGTGTGTGTGTGTGTGTGTGTGTGTGTGTGTGTGTGTGTGTGTGTGTGTGTGTGTGTGTGTGTGTGTGTGTGTGTGTGTATGTGTGCCTGGGCGGGCTCGTGTGTGGTGCATAAGCATTTTGAAATAATATTTTATAAACACAATATAAAACACAAAACAGCAGAAGTAAACTAACACACATACAGTCAAAGCCCCAGTAACACACAGCAAAACAAACACACAGTAAAACAAGCACACACACACACACACACACACACACACACACACACACACACACACACACACACACACACACACACACACAGCACACACACACACAGAAGGCACAGTGTGACAGCACAACAAACACAGCCACAGAGAACACTTGGCACGGAGGGCAGAACCTAATATGACCTCCCGTGACCTTGAACAGGTACAGCACCTGGACGCCCTGGCGGAAGTAATCTGGTGTGGCCTTCTCGATGAAACCGAACCTCCGCGTTCGTACCACCATCACTGCCGTCCCCCCCGGGTAGTTTCCTGCAAGAACAAACAAAAACACAAAATTGGAGTGATATTGTAAACATCAATGGACGCTTCTGCACCTTGATTAAAATATGTTTATATATGTTAAAACTTGCTTGATACGCTAAGGCTTCAGTACACCTCGCAAAATACAAAAGAATATCCATGTGCGGAAGGTAATACGAAGCCTCTCCATCGTGTTTTCGTGATCAATGCAGGCGAATATGTCGTAGACATATCTGCAGTAAGGAGGTATGGCACATACATTCACTAATTCACCATCTGGAATCGTCAAAATATAGAAAATAAACACCATTATTATAGCTGTCCCCAGTCACCCTAGAGAGCTAAGCGCACGAAGAAATCATTATTCACAAGATTGTCCCCCATCGATAAACACCGAAATGAATTTGATCTAGAAGTATAATCGATGAAGATTAAGCCATTCAAGAGGCGGCACGGGCATGAATAGCCCGTAATCTAGTAGAAAGATTCCCATCGGGTTATACGACTTCTGCTTCACGTGACCTTGTAAATTGGCATTTACAACGACTAAGGGTTCATCATACCCAAGGACATGAGGTGGGAGTGGTTGACCCATGCCCGTATAGGTCGAATTCTGACATGTAATTTTAGTATGCTTATAATACCAGTACCGGACATGTATTGTTGATGTCACGTTCTTGACCAAATGTTGACATAAAATAGAGAGACGAAGTGATCCAGTTTTTCTTCACCCTTAAGTTGGTAGTACATTTACAGTACAATAAATGTACTGTAAATCCCAATGAGATCTTTTACAGTACAGTAAATGTACATATACACAAATTTACGTAAAATGGAAAATATTCCATTTTTTGGGCAATTGTAATAATGCTTTGCTCCAGTTCCATGTGAATTGATGAAAACCTGCTCCAAAATACAGTTACTTGGTTGCATATTTTACTACTTACGAAGCTTTGTATCAAAACAAACTGAAAGTGTGAAACTACAGAAACAAATACGAAAGGGAGAGAGAGAGAAGGTGTCATGTGAAACATACGCTTAATACATAGTGTACGTATCCTGGGTCGACTGGATACATACACTATGTACCGCGCCTGGAGCGACCCAGGCTCTCAACAGTTACTTACATGCCCCCCTAATCTTTTGAGCTTGACCTGTTCTGCAGTATAAGAATGTTGATACATGCAGGCGATGAATCACAATAACGTGGCTGAAGTATGTTGACCAGATCACACACACTAGAAAGTGAAGGGACGATGACGTTTAGGCCTGTCCTGAACCATTCACAATCGACTTGAGAATGGTCCAGGACGGACCGAAACGTCGTCGTCCCTTCAGTGTGTGGTCTGATCAACAGTGTTGATTTATATATATATATATATATATATATATATATATATATATATATATATATATATATATTATATATATATATATATATATATATATATATGTGTGTGTGTGTGTGCTTTGACAAAGGTAGAGCCGTAAATCATTGCATCACAAGGCTTGTGAATACTGCCCAGGGAGAAGCTGTTCCCTGCCATTTGTTACTTAAATTTCAATAATGCGTCCGGGGCGTGAAGTATTTTGTCATAACCCTGTCAGACGTGATGTATGTTGCTCTAGTTATTGTTTACCTTATTCGAGATGAATGATGAGGGGGAAGTTCACACACGCAAACACACACTCTCTCTCTCACACACCCACACACACACACACACACACACACACACACACACACACACACACACACACACACACACACACACACACACACACACACACACACACACACACACTCACCTAGGTAAGTACAACTACGTGTACCCTCATGTACCCACATGCACGCTAACATAAAAGCCTCGTATGTACAAGCACGCATGTACATACATGTGCTCACCCACATACTTAATCCCTCATATATACACTTGTGTAGACACAACACCAACTGCTTAACATAGAAAATAACAAATTCTCAGACAAAGAAATACATATACACTTAAAATGAGCTGAACACAGCACAGCATATGAGACGAGGCAGCATCTCGTCATTATCACTGAACTGGCAGAGGGCCCAAACAATGCAACTAGCCAAGCTCTGCAACACATCACTGAACACAGGCTAGTTAACAAACAGTTTGGAAACGGTGTCACAAGAATATTCTTAGATGGAAGTATTAAGAAAGCTTTGAATTACAAGTCAGTATAACTTATATGCATACACTACATGGTGAAGAAGAAAACCTTCAATGGGTATTGAGAGTCTCTAGGTCTAGATTAGGTTATGTGAAACACTTCTGGAGACGCCTCCTTCCTCTCTCTACAAGGGGGAACGGGTCTAAGTATAATCATTCAGCCTGGCACTAGGTCCACTAATTCCTATCAGTTACACACACACTTGGATGTAAAAGTACTAGATATACTACACTCTAGGCCACAAACATCAGTCCAGACGCATGGCTAGTGTCGGATGCTCAGTCTCCAATGGGCTGTGGGCTCTCTGCACCCTGTCTGAGTGAGCAAACACAAGCACTTCTCTACCTTGTGCTCCCCTCTCTCCAGCTGCTATTGCTGCTGCCTGGCCTAGACACCGATCCTCAACGCCTCAGTACACTGTTGCAATTGTATTGCAACCGCTTGCAACTTGCGTCAATTACTGGATGCTGCTACACACCACCCACATCACAACTCATCTTCCCGTCATCAGATGTCGTTTTTTTCTTTCTTCTGCTATCGACTAAAATTATAATTCTGCTGTCTAACGTTTCCTCTCTTAAAGGTCTTATACACAGTAATCTAAGAACCAATTAAATTTAGCATTTATATGGCTTGTAATTCTTACCAGAGCTCAACCCCCGCAAGCACAATTAGGTGAGTACACACACACACACACACACACACACACACACACACACACACACACACACACACACACACACACACACACACAAGAAAGTGTGTGTGTGGTGGGGGAAAAAAAGTAGTTAGTAAACAGGTAATTGACAGTTGAGAGGCGGGCCGAAAGAGCAAAGCTCAACCCCCGCAAACACAACTAGGTGAATACAACTAGGTGAATACAACTAGGTGAATACGCACACACACACACACACACGCGCGCGCGCGCGCTCAGGGTAGTTAATAAATGGAATGCACTAGGAAGTGATGTGGTGGAGGCTGACTCCATACACAGTTTCAAATGTAGAGATGATAGAGCCCAGTAGGCTCAAGAGCCTGTAAAGCAGTTGAGTGACAGTCGAGAGGCGGCACCAAAGAGCCGAAGCTCAACCCTGGCAAGTACAACTAGGTGAGTACACACACACAAACTCTCACGCACGCATCCACACATCCGGTATTGCCTCTCAGCCCCTAGCTGTCTATCAGCCCCTAGCTGTCTATCAGCCCCTAGCTGTCTATCAGCCCCTAGCTGCCTATCAGCCCCTAGCTGTCTATCAGCCCCTAAATGTCTATTAGCCCTTAACTGCCTATTAGCCTCCCTGTGCCTCTCAGCCCTTTAAGCTTAAATTTTTACCTTTAAGCCCCTAGCTGCCTATCAGCCCTTATCTGCTTCTCAGCCCTTCCCGGCCTATCAGAACCTCGCTGTCCCTCAGCTCCTGTCTCACCCAACCACTTGGGCTGGACGGTAGAGCGACGGTCTTGCTTCATGCAGGTTAGCGTTCAATCCCCGACCGTCCAAGAGGTTGGGCACCATTCCTATCCCCCCCCTACTCCATCCCAAATCCTTATCCTGACCCCTCCCCAGTGCTATATAGTCATAGTGGCTTGGCGATCTCTCCAGCTAGATCCCTTCCATTCCTTTCTCTCTCGATCTATCTCGGTTTCTCGGCCTCTCGTGAAAGTTTTGCCTCAAATCCGTCTCTGCCTCACAAACCTCTCTCTACCTCTTGCTTCCAAACTCTTTCATACCTCACACTGATTCATCACAGTACTGCATCCATCTCTTGCCACCTACATCGGCAGAAACATATTTAATAGACTGGAGTGCTCTGAGAATTCTGGGGAAGCAGAGAGTTGAAGAAGTGCCTTAAAGAATGGTACACCAATGCTGATGGACTTACAAACAAAGCAGGGGAAATAAAAGAAAGGTTCAGTGAAAAAGAACCTGATTTAATTTACAGATGTGGAAGCAAAAATATATATGATATGATTTCAGATTCAATATTTCCAGTGGGACACCAAATAAAGTTGAAAGAAACAAACACACAGAGGGAGGAGTTGCACTCCGAGTAAAACGAAAGTGGAAATTTGAGGAACAAGAAGATTGAAATAAAAACAAATAATACACAGGCTTTATCACTGGGGCTCTGACAACAGATGAAACAATAGATATTGGTCGCGAGGAGGTTATAGAGGCAAACGCCATACATAATGTAAAATCTAGATATGACACGGAAATATGTCTGTAGTCATTGCATTAGACAGCGGGCGGCTAGAAAGATTGGTAACCAAGAGCTGAAGTCCGAACTTGCTGGCAAAATAGGTAAGTACACACACACACACACACACACACACACACACACACACACACACACACACACACACACACACACACACACACACACACACACACACACACACACAAACAGAAGAAGGAAGACAGAAGAGTTAGGGGGGACATGAATGAGCCACAGAGATATTAGAAAGAACTTTTTTAGTGTCAGAGTGGTTGACAAATGGAATGCATTAGGAAGTGATGTGGTGGAGGCTGACTCCATACACAGTTTCAAGTGTAGATATGACAGCCCGATAGGCTCATGAATCTGTACACCTGTTGATTGACGGTTGAGAGGCGGGACCAAAGAGCCAGAGCTCAACCCCCGCAAACACAACTAGGTGAGTACAACTAGGTGAGTACACACACACACACACACCGCCTCCGCCGCAGAGGTGAAATCAAATGAACAGAGTTTCTTTCACCCTGATGCTCCTGCTCACCTAACAGTCAATAGGTACCTGGGAGATAGACAGCTTCTACGGCTGCTTCCTGG